CTTTATCATGTAGCATAGGAGGGCTACAATACGGTGGGGAATTACCCATTGTGTTATAGCTCGCTATTAGCACCAGAACAGAGCTCCACCACTCTGGTGTTCAGTGTTTCACAACACCTCTTTCCTCCAAAAGGCTAAATTCATTTTGTAAATGAACCCAAGAGTCGCTATTTAAATTCCCAAATTTGGTGCCCTCTCTGCCCCCGCCCCATTTGCCTCTCTCGGCAGCAGTTGGGAGTTGCCCTTTCGCTTATTCTTTCCCAGCTACCTGCAACTATTTCCTGAGCCACTGAGTCTCCAGCATCCTGATTCAATCTCACCCACAACTCTTCCTTTTCTTTCTCTCTCTGCTCGTGTGTCTACAACAGCCTTAAAGAGCCTGCCCCATGGCTGAAGGCATTTTTCTTCCCACCATTGCTACCGCTGGCTCAGCTGCACTGGAGTTAGCCATGATGGGGGTGTAGTGTAGACAGAGCTCCACATGGCTGCTGGCCTTTAAAGCTCAGTGTTTTCAGCCTTTCTTAAAGCAGGTTCAGGTAAGACAGTGGTTTAAAATACCAGTCTCCTTTCTACACTGGTACTCCCACCATTGTGAACACCCAGGGGGGCTGATACAGTGGTAGCAATAATATGAAATTTTAGGGGGAAATCCTAATACAGACATAGCCTGTGCATGAAGCCTTTGGGGACAGATTCGTATGAAGGGTTGTATATAAAAATACATAGCATTCTACTGCAGAAGACACACACAACCTCCCCCCACAAAAAAAACAAAAACAACCCCCCCCCAAACACCGCCCACCGTCCCTGGCTCTCTCTAGGCATGAGCAGCTGCATCCCCACATGGAGAAGATAAGTGCTGCATCTTTAAGGTCTCAGCAGTGAGGTAGAGGAGAGGAACAGATTGTCAGTGTTTATACCTTTCTTCTTTGTTGAATTTGGGATTGGCTTCAGAGATATCCAGGCTTTTACTGAACATTGTTTTACTATGGCAGGAACAAAGTGAGAAAACAGAGTTACTAATATGGACATTCATAAAAGAGATTCACCTGAAAGCGTCCCTGACTCTAAGCCCTCCCAACCCACGTCCTCTTTAAAGCAAATCTCCAAAACACTTTTCCTGCTCCTTTCTGAACTATGGCTCCATCCTGAATGGTGCTGATCATCTCTTGAAGGTGCTGAGCATCCTCAACTCCCAGTCCCACTGGCTTTGGTGAGAGCTGAGGCCTTCAGCACATGGCAGAATCAGACCCCTGTAGAAGTATTCTCTAAGAGTAGACTCCCAGCCTGTCATGGTCTGTGACCTCCCCAACAAACACACCCCAACACCCTGCTCCCCATTACTGCACTGAAAACCCCAGCTGGAGTCCACTTGCTCACATTTCTCACTGGAGATCGACCATGCTTGAATGTGAAAATAGCAAAGCCCTCCTTATTGCTGCTGGGAATCTGAAAGCCTTTCCGGGAAGTCATTAACACTAAGCACACACTGGGCACAGATTCAAAACTGCAAGCAGATCTTCTTAAAGGCCTCTTTTATTTTTCTACTCTTCATGGCTCGTTCCTGCCAGTCCCACACCCCTTTCCATCCCTCAAAAAGAACCATTCTGCTTCCCAAACTTGGTCAGAATCCCAGCAGCTGAGAAGCAGGACTCTAAAAGCCTCGCTAAAGGTCGATGTTCTGTGTTAGCTCTGTGTTATGTGGATAGCTGCTCTACACAATACAGCCTGCCAGCACTGGCTGCTATTTCACTCGTGCTATCCACCTCAGCAACCCACAAGAAAAAGAATGGAAGGAAAATGAATAGTTGATGGAATCAACTGTAGGAAGTTTGAGCAAATCTTCTCAACTCTGACCCTTGCCACTGTGAAAATTCTGGCACCCCAGCAGAGGTTCCAGCTGCTGCAGGGGTAGCAGGCTCCACCTAAAGAAGGGGCTGTCCATTTCACAAGATTCTTAGTGCCATGAGGTGTCTACAGTGTTCTGTGCACCTATCTCCGCCCCTCTGTCGTTTCTCCTGGCAGGAGTGAAGCTGTGGCTTCTAGGAGGAGCCAAGCAGTCTGAAATGGGTGGGAAAGAAAAGCACTGGCAGTGGTGTAGCTCAGTACCATTCTCCCCTTCAATACATTTGGGCTGGCTAAAAGCAGGATAAAACCAAACCTAACCACCAGATGCGGGTGTTTGTGTGCTTTTAGTGTGTCACATACAGTCAGAGAAACAACAGAGAGCACTTAGAGGGGCCAACACCATTGTTTCAAGCAGAGCTGGATGGGCAGCAGCTTGTAAGCTGGAAGCCAGTCGTTGTGCGGGACTTCACTTGTTCCACTGTTCTTCTCCAGGACTAAGTCACTGAAGGGCTATGTTTTTTCCTAATGCTTTCAGCACAAAAGCCCTTTTACCAACCTGTTGGGTTTGAGTCCCCTATTTCAAGCTTGAGTGGCTATTCTAAGAGGATATCAAACCCATAATATTAAGATTAGAGGCTCCTGCGGTCCCAGGCTGGGTGCCAAGTGTGTTATTTATCCACATACAACTGGAGGCTATCACATGCATCCCCTTTCTGCAAATAAACAGATGTTCACTGCAGTGGGACTAAAACACAAGTCACAAGGGAGTGCTTTGCCCACTGAGCTAGAGAAGCATCTCTGGTAGCTTATGAAGGAAGCAATGGATGTATATTTCCTGGTGTTTACAGTCATTCATCTCTAACTAGGACTGTCTCCTCAGTCTCTCTTCACCTTCCCAATGCAGTACAATTCTCCTGGAATAAAGCAGTGGATATCCATCTGCCCAGACTGAGAATACCAGGGCAGCATCACCCCCTGAAAGTCACAGGGCTAAGAAGAAGTGCTGCAAAATCCACCCTCTGTGGGTCACTTGCTGCTGAATACTATACAGCTAGCCTTAAAAAGCCGGATTCTTGGCTGCAGGCACCTAGTGTTTTGTTACTGACTGTTCTGACAGATGGTGCCCCTATCAGCAGTGCACCATCCCCAGACACTCTCCATGCAGTGCCATTTGTTAATGAAGCCAGCTCATGTTATAAATCATCACACTGCCAGCAACTCATACTGTGCCACTGTCATCTACAGATGTGGAGAGTATTTGAGTAATGAAAGCTTGAGCCTGAAATAAAATAGCACCTTCCCCTTAACCTCTTCCAAAATATGCACCACTGAACTGGGCATCATCCCTCATAATGTCAGCGTGTGCCCCTCCACTGTCCTTGATCAGACTTGTATGTTTTGCTTTAGCTGAAGTTGTCTGCTGCACACACACTCCCAGTGTATCCCTTTTGATTGTCCCTGATACCTCTGGCATGAGTCCTGCCTTCTTTAACCTAGAGTCATCCCTCATTGACATGCCGCCAATGCATCTCTCTCCAGTGTCTCTGAGATAATCTCAGACATTCCCCTTGTGTCTCTTTCCACTGATCACCTCATATTGCAACATTTTCCAATTGTGGGGGAAAGTGGGACATTCAAAGCAAAACAGAATGCGCAGGATAATACGAGCCCTTGATTTCCCTTTTTTTAGCTTTCTGACACATTGTTATGGACTCACAAGCCAAAGGTGAGAGGTGGTAGGGAGCATTCCAACTATCAGAACAGATCAGGATCAGGCCAGGAAGCTTTAGGCTGGTGGAATGATTTGCTCCTAACTCAATTTGTCTGTATCACCATTATTCCTGGTTCCTCTTTGTTGTTCCACCTAGGTAAATGCTCCCCGCAAGCAACTGCAGAGTACAGCAACATACTAAGGCAACAAACTGTCTGCAGCTGGGGTGCCGAAGTCCGCACACTGCACCAGTGGCTGTCTCATACATGAGACCTTCATGGGCCAGGTACCAGGACTGGATATGAAAGGCGAGATGGGGAAAAGGTGGATGTTTGATTTTAGTGACTACTGCTTGGTAACAGTTTGTTCCCAGGGTGCTCAGCCTTATTCTTCGTTCTACCTTCTTTGACATCAGTGGCCTCTGTGAAACACACGTTTCTCCAAACCAGCTACCTGATCACTATACAGATCCTTTTATTTCACTGTCGGATGGGGGGGGGGGCGGGAGAAATAAAGCTGGTGTCCCTTCTGACCTATGATGAGGAACCTTTCAGACACTGAATCTTAAGGATACCCAGCCATGGACCCCAGGAATAAATCCTAGCAGCTCTCGGGGAATAGCTTTCTTCACTCTAGGGCTAGAACTGCCTCAGTCATCCAACAAGAATCACAGGCAGTTCTAAGGGCCTCTGAACGTCTTTATTTCATGCTCTTCGCCCAGCTGTCAGCCAGCAAAAGGAGCTTCTGGGCACAGGAGACTCTTTCTGAGCAGATCTTAACAGCTGAGGGAAAAGACCATGTCACAAAAGCTGAATTACAAGCGAAAGCATTGACAGTATATGTACGTGTGATGTTCTTTGATACAGATTGATATCTCTCTGTGTAATTCCAAATACACATGCTTCCTTTCTGCCTTTCGTTGGTGTGGACATCCTGTAATGAGCGTGGAAAACGGCTCCATGAAACAACACAACCAGAAGGGTAGCTCACATAGCAGTTCCCCTGGGCACACCATTCCCTCCACTCCTCTCCAGCATATCACAACAGCAGCAGTTTCCTTGCAGATGAGAGAACTGGAATGATACATACCCACCACGCTTAAGAAATCCAGTGAGCTATGAGCGTCAGGGCCATACTGAGTTTGACAGCAGCCCTGAGAGGCACCCAAAGGAGTCAGGTAGGGTTTCTCCAGATTCATACTATTCTCATGACACCAGTGTCAAGGGTCTCAGTAGGATTCTGAGTAAAAGGGTTCAGTGGACAGGACCCTCATGCCATGGACAGAATTGATACGATGGTGCCAGTAACCACGAGTGCTGCTGGATGTTTCTACAAATGCTGGTGTGGATAGAACATTTTCTCAAACTCCTCCTATGTAAAGGGGAAGTAGGGGAGGCCAGGAGCACGGGGTTCATCTTTCCTGGCTATGGGGGCTACCTACCTCTGTCCATGCTGTGCCATTTCAATAGCTCTGCGAGCTGGGACCGGCGAACCGCCATCTGTCACGCTGAGAACCTCCATCGACTTCCTTTCTGGCCGCCGCTTCCCATGCCGGTTCAGCATTGGGGAGTCCACACGCTTCCTGGGGGGATCTTTGCACAGAGAGAATGCAGTCACCTGAGTCTGGCTGGGGCCCATCTCCCCCCACAACCTGGCAGCCCCCCCTCAGCAATCCCCCTCGCACCTCCCCCCACAGAGAGAGGGCTGATTGTCCCCTGACGAAGGGGAAGGAACATTTGCAATCTCCTCTTCCCCAAGTCCCAAATTTCACCTCTTCACGGCTGCCAAACAATGCATATGTCTCAGATGCTGCTTGCAAACCTTCAAAAATCAGTCAAGGTTGATCTACCGAGCATGGGATGGGAGGGGAATGAGTGGTGGGGGGAAGAGAATGATATAGCCCTGAAAGTTTGGGGGTTTCATTCCCCCCAACTTTCTTTTTACATTAAAAATTAAGGTCTTATCTACCCTGGGTGACTCTATGGTGACTGGAGAGCTAGTGAAATGTATCTATCTATGGTGTTTATATGGCACTGGAGTAACTGAGCACGTCACAATCTGTAATGTGTTCATCCTCACAAAACTCCTGTGAGGTAGGCCAGCGCTAGATTTTCAAAAGCACCAACGTGCCTAATTCCCATGGAAATCTGGATCTTTCGTTGCTTAAATACCTTGAAAAATCTGGCCCTAAGTGACTTGCACAAGGTCACACAGGAAATCTGTGGTGGTGCAGGTCTCCTGAGTCCCCAGCTAGTGCCCTGATCACTGGATGATCCTGACTCTGATGGTAGCACACCCATACAGAGAAGGACAGCTGAGCAAGTGAGAGGAGAAGGGATTTTTTTTTTTAAAGTGAGGCTGTTTAAAATCCTTTGTTTGTTTGTATCTGTAAAGCCCTAGCTAATTCCAATGACTAATGAATACCTTAGAGAGAGGACATTGTTTGCCTCTTCCATTGGAGAGCTCACAACAAACATTCTCTGAGACCCTTCCCCCACCAAAAGATCTGGTATTTCATAGAATCATAGAATAGCAGGGTTGGAGGGGATCTCAGGCGGTCATCTAGTCCAACCCCCTGCTCAAAGCAGGACCAATCCCCAGACAGATTTTTACCTAGTTCCCTAAATGGCCCCCTCAAGGATTGAACTCTGGGTTTAGCAGGCCAATGCTCAAACCACTGAGCTATCCCCCGGGGAACCCAGTTTTAACATTCCTGATACTTCTATTAATTATTAATTATTATTATTAATAATAATTATCATCATCAATATTGATACTCTGTTTATTTTTGTTACCCCATCCTCCACTGCTACCTCCACCCACTTGTTTGTTTCATCTCTCTCTTATGTCTTGTCTTCTAGACTGTAAGCCCCATAGGACAGGAATTATTATTTACTATATGTGCAAACAACGTGGAGCACAATGGGGTCCGACCGGTGTGAGGCCTCTAATCATTTTTAATATTTATCATTAACAATAATATTTTTCCTGTTAAAAAGGAAGCAGAAAAACAAACCAATAAATCAAAGAGGCAGCAAGATCCAATAAAGCAATAACAGTGAGTGACTTCAACTGCACACAAATGAACTGGTCAAACGTGACATTGGGTTTACAGGGTTTACAGAAATAATTTCTTGATAGTTTTAACGATTGCTGCTTCAAACAGCTAAGTCAAGAAGAGAAGCTGTTCTCCACTTAGTCTTACGTAACATGCTACTGTTGGTTCAAAAAGTAATTGTAGCTGAATCACGAAGCAACAGTGATCGGAATTTAATTAAGTCCAATGTTTTCAGCAAAGGGATGATATCAAAGACTAGCCTGGGGACACTAAACTTTAGAAAGGGAAACTTAAAAATAAAATAAAAGATTAAGCCAGTCTGAGAGAGGCTAACTCAAAAGCAAGGAAAGGAAAATCCTCAAATGTGGCATGGGGGTTACTTTGGCAGAGTAACAGAGTCACATAAGGCATGACTAACCCCCAACAACAAAGGAAGCAAGAAGGGAAGAAAAAAACCAGTCTAATCAAATGCCAAGATTCAAGGGGTAATTTGAGCCAAACCAGATCAAAATAGGAGGCTTCAGCAAATGGAAATCCAGCCCCAGTGACACCCATAACATGGAGCATTAAGTACGGCAAGTCAAATGTAAACTGGGAGTTAGGAGAGAGCTAAGAAAGACTATGAAGAGCAATTAGCCAAAGACAAATACAAATTATCAGACATCTTGCAAATATATCAGAAGCGGGAAGCTTGTGGACAGGACAGTAGGTCAGCTGGCCCATCAGGGAGTAACGGGAGCAATTAAGGAGGATAAGGATATTGCTGAGAAACTAAATGATTCCTTTGCATTAAACTCCACCACATAAAATGTTGGGGAAGATATCTACCTATTTTTTAAAACATATTAAAGATAAGGAACTGTCCAAAAACTAACAACAGCAAGTCATTAGGATTGGCTGGGTTATACCCAAGACTTCTGCAGGAACACAAGGATAAAGTGGCTGAGCTGCTAACTAAAATATTCAATCTCTCCTTAAAATCAGTTACTATACGAGAGGGTTGGAGGGCAGCAAATGTTGAGCAATCCTGGGAATTACAGGTCAGTGAGTCTTACTTTAGTTTGGTGTCTTTCTATGTTGGCATGGACATATTCTTAGGATGGAAGACCAATGAACTATGAAGCATATTTACCAAGGAATATTGCTACAGGATGCCACTGAGGTTGTCACCAAAAGCTGAGGTGGTGCGTAAGAATGCCACGGATGGGCACAGACCAAACATTCAGCCACACTGTCTTAAGGGCCTACCGAGAGATCGATCTGTGGTGTGCTCAATCTGCAAGTAGGCTACATCCCTTTGGGATTTGCCTTTGTGGTGATGATGATTGATGATGATGATGAAGAAGAAGTAACCAAGTTGCACTGATAATTAAATACAGTTATCCTGCCACAGGCTGAAGGCAGCTGAAAGCAAGTTGGAGGCAGGCTGGAGCGTGTCATGGTTATGCAGGGTTGAGGAGGCGCCGCTGTAGATTTGGAGGAAGCTGTGTCACATGTTTTGCTTTACAAAGGGCTCCATAACAGGAGGGCTGGCCCTGCAGACTCCCCACAGCTATCATTCCACCACATTTTCCATTTAACCTTCAAAGCATCGTTTTGCATTGAAGGCTCCTCTGACACAAGAGAAGATCTGTCAGCTTGTATCTCAGCTTCCAACCTCTCAGGTCCGATTTGCGACAACGTCAGAGGACAGAAGCACTCCCCGCAGAAGCTAAACTGCTGTTAACAAAATACCAACAAACAAGATTACACAGCAATGCGGAGAGCAAAAGGAGGAAGGTTTCCTGCTTGTGCCCTTCTGCTCCCGGTGAAGCTTTGTGGCGAGAAAAGTAATAGAACATTGCCTCAAATGATGAAAAAGAAAACTTTATCCTACTTCTCTGGGAAAGAGATATCTGCACACAGAGTGAAACAAACACAAAAATGAAACTAGGAAGGGAAGGGTAGTTTGTTGAGATAAGAGTCTGATCTCCCCTTTAGCTTCAACTGGAATTCAGAAGCCTATGCTCACAGCTTGCATCCATTCTTTCCAAGCTGTACCATACAAAGAAAGAGGAAGAGTTCAGTATGTGCGTAGGTACTTTTATTTGGCAAGTGCTCAGGCAACACGCATCTCTGAGGAACGTGGTCTCTCAGAGCAGTTATGATTAAATCCATTACCATTTCCCTTCGCCCTTCCTCTTCTCTCTTTGAGTAAGGTCAGTGCTCATGGCTAATGAGGAGATATTCATCAGAAGCATGATTACTCTTACTTAAACTTTGCCCCATGTTCCCAGAGACACTGCTGGGAGCAGAGGAGATGGAAACCCCCTCTGGGAAAGGAAGTAGATCTTACTAACACTCAAATAATAATGCTTGGGGAGTCTACAATGTGCTATCACAGCACAGTGCTATCTCTGGCTCAAAGATAGCCTACCTCTATGGGGGAACTCTTTCTCACCCAGTGTAGAAAATTCCAATTCAGATGGTCAGTATTTGAACCAGCAAGTGAAAATGTTGTGGGAGGTACAGGATTGGGAGATGGGAGAAGAGGTATATGACATAGTTAGGGCATGGCTTTGCATTCACTTCTGCATTGGAGGTAATGATTCAATCACCTCTGCTACTACGGTTCAGTAGCAAAAGTATCTTGGGGAGCCCTGTCTCTGTGTTGCAAAATCGTCTGTCTAAGTCAAAAGTCAATGAGCCACTGTAGGAAGACAGGAATACACAGACATACACATACACACAAAACTTATGTGGTAGTGATATACTGTACATGTGATTAAATAGATAAATTACAGAACCATGTGATAAACTGCATTTATCAGGCACCTTTGACCACATTACCTACACTCTGCCTACTAACCCATCTCCACCAGGAGCATGCTAACGTTCCAAACTCCCTGCAGCTTCAAGCAGGTGACATTGTTAAAAATCGGCCTGCCAGGTAAGTGTTTTATAGTTTCCTCCACATATGAGATGTCTTGGAAAAACTGCACAGACCTGAGGCCCAGGGCATGAGTCTTGGAGCAGTGACAGATTTAAAGTTCAATATTTCATCACACAGAAGGACTGGGAGAGTCCAAGCATTTCAATGGGATAGGCAGCACTTGCTTCTAGCCCTGAAGGTCATGAGATACTAGATCTAAAAACACAACACTACTATGTCCAACAATGCTATTTCAGGTACTTTTCTAAAATGTTAATAGTTACATATTTTTGATTCCCTTTTAGTCATGTATAGTTGAAGTCACTTAGACCAGCAGTTCTCAACCCGAGGTTTGAGGCCCCCTGGTGGGCTGTGAGCAGGTTTCAGGGGGTCCGCTGAGCAGGACTGGCATTAGACTCACTGGGGCCCAGGGCAGAAAGCCAAAGCTACACCTCCCTAAGCCCCGCCACCCGGGCCAAAGCTGAAGCTTGAGCAGCTTAGCTACGCGGGGCCCATTATGATGTGGGGCCCTGAGCAATTGCCCTGCTTGCTACCCCCTAATGCCGGCCCTGGTTTTTATATGCAGAAAAACAGTTGTTGTGACACAGGTGGGCCGTGGAGTTTTATTAGCACATTGTGGGGGCCTCAGAAAGAAAAAGGCTGAGAACCCCTGACTTAGACTGTAAGCTCTTTGGAGCCAGGAATGTCTTTTAGTTCTGTGTTTGTACAGCATCTAGCACAGTGGGGTCTCTGCCTGCGGCTTCACAATGCAAATAATAAGTAACAATAGTACTACAAGAGCACTATAGTGGTAAAGGAGCACCTGGCTATACAGACAAAAGGATACAATATGTAAGCCCAGTAAACATGTTTGAAAATTGTTCTAAAATATCTTTAATATATAAATACTGCAGCGGAACTCATTCTGTATGGCCTGTGCAACTATAACGTGGTCATCTGTATTTCAGGCTGATAAAACCTTTCTAACGCAAATACAAAGGCCTGTTACACTGCCAGAGAGGTGTAAAAGGGCCTTAGTCACGTAGCTGAGAAGCAGACCTTTTACGTTTAGCTCAACAGCGGAGCTGACTTCCCCAGGCTGCTGGAGCCTGAGAGAACATTAGTACCATCATAGCCTGTTTCAGTGGAAAAGGGGAGAGAGAATGCCAACAATAGGAAGATAAAGCCAAGAGGGACAGACTGAAATGGGTCAAAGGTGACTGGGACCCCGTTTGAAATACCTATTTCATTCCGAGGGGGCAGGTCCTCATCCTCATGACTGGGATACCTCTCTTTCCGATCAAGGAGAAGAAAATAAATCATTTTCTCTTGGTTTTCTCTGAAAAAAATACATGATGGGAGAAACCGTCTAACTTGCTGCAGATGCCAGAGAAAAAAAATGCAGATTACCGTTCCCACATCAAACGCAATAGTTACAAATGTTCTAAATAACCCAAATCTAATTATCTCTTTTCTTATCTGGCCCCCGGCACCATATTATCTGAGTGCCTTGACAACGTCAATAGATTTGATCCTCCAAGGCCCCTCTGAGGAAGGCAGGTGTACCACCATTGTGTAGATGAGGAACTGAGGCACAGGGTAAATATAAATGAATGGCCCAAGGCCAGACAGGAAGTTTGTGTCTGAGTCAGGAACTGAAGCTAGATCTCCTGGGTCCTAGTCTGGTGCCCACTAGATGATCCCTCATAATGCTTAGGAAAGCTGGCACAGCTCTGGAAACTGAAGTCTTTTATTTACCAACAGATGCAGGCACCGCACAGGCAGTAACCATGCAAATTCCCCACGCTGTCCTGCCCATGTATGTGAATCCTCACCTGCAGATATCAACTCTGGAGGTTGAGAGAGGCAATTCTACCCTCCATGGGCCATTCAGCCCTTGATCTCTCTAACAAGGATGTCAGCTGCGATGGTAATTTATGTGATAGAGGGGCACCTATGCTTTAAGAAATACACTGAGACCTCCCGCTCCCTCCCAACTCATTTCCACTGAACAGCTAGGGCAGGAGAAATGACTATCGGTCCCTCCCAATCGGGGCCATGTTCGTATCAGTGCTCTAGAAATAAAAGGTTCCATATCCCATTTCTAATCGCCTCTGACACCAAACCGATGTTAAGATTGAGTGAATGCTTACTCTTCCGACAACAGGTCCTGTAAGAGTTTATTTCGGTCGCGGAAGCAGCCTAACGAGTGCATGCTGTCTAACACGTCTGGATCAATGTCCTCCAGGGAAGGGAGAGAACGAATCTGCACCTTTCGAGGAATTGGTTGTTCCGGTTCTGGTTCATTCTTACCCCCTCTGTAATTGAGAGAGAAAGAGACAGAGACACAGAGAGAGAGGTGAACAACAAGTGAAACCCTTGCTCTGAGATAGAGGCTAAAACAACAAATGGAAAAAGAGTGTCAAAATTCCATTGATATGTCTGGCCTTGCAAGGCAGATAGAAATTCCTTTCAGGACAAGTTCAATGGGAGCTGAGAGTGATCAGCATCTTGCAGGATTGGGCCTGTAATGAGAAATTTTTTTGAACTCGGCTGCAGGCATGCGGCTATCCCCTTTCAAAGCTCCGTTTCTTACAGCCGACATGCTTATCTGCTCTGGGACACAAACTGTTTGGGCAGAAAGGCAGCAAGAGCTCCCATCGTACCAACCCTAAACAAACTAGCAGCTGCTTAGGGCATGGCTACACTTGCAGATGTAGAGTGCCGGGAGTTAGACCAGCCCTCGGAGACCGCAGCAGGGAAAGCGCTGCCGTGTGTTCACACTGTCAGCTGCAAGCGCAGTGGCGTGGCCACATTAGCAGCTCTTGCAATGCCACAGAGAGCAATGCATTTTGGTAGCTATCCCAGTGTGCAAGTGGCTGCAGTGTGCTTTTCAAATGGGGGGTGGTGGTGGAGTGTGACAGGGAGTGTGTTGTGTGTATGTGGGGGGAAAGACAGTGTGTTTTGGGGGGCAGAGAGTGTGTCAGCATGCTGTCTTGTAAGTTCCCACAGCGGCAGGGGGAAACCCCGACATAAGCCCCCACCCTCGCCTCTCTCTCTCTCACACATGCACAAACGCCTGTCTCTGCAGTAGGAGCATTCCACAGTAATGGTTGCTTTGTGTCCCGGAGCAGATAAGCATGTCGGCTGTAAGAAACGGAGCTTTGAAAGGGGATAGCCGCATGCCTGCAGCCGAGTTCAAAACAATGACCGGAGTGGCCACTTGACTTCAAGGGATTATTGGAGGCCAATCACAGCGCAGTAATGCAACACGTCGTCCATACTGATACCCCAGCATTTCAGCCAAGGCACAGCAAGCTCTATGCTTCTCGTGGATGTGGATTACCAGGAGCGCTCCAGCTGCAGAGTCCAGGCGCTCTAAGTGCCTTGCGAGTGTGGACACCTCAGGAGTTAGGGCGCCCGGGGCTGATTTAATGCGCTCTAACTTGCAAGTGTAGCCAAGGCCTTAATGTCCTGATATTGTACAGTTATAAATCACTCCACTTAGAGGTGCTGCGTCATGAGCAGATCCGATCTTGGGCTAAGTGAAGTTGAACAATTTCCTCCCAAAGTTTGAACTGTGAACAAGTTGACATCACCCACCCCTAATTTTAACAGAGATGAGCTTCAGAGCAGTCCTATAGGGGTCCAAACTTTCCAAAGTGATTTAGGGTACCTCAATTTTCTGGTGCCCAACCTGAGAAATCTTAAATAGGCCTGATGTTTAGAGGAAGGTGCTAGGCACTTTCTAAAAACCATGCTTTTTATTTAGGTACTTAAATACGCATTTAGGGTGTGTCTATACTGCAATAAAAAACCCTCAGCTGGCCTGTGTCAGCTGACTTGGGCTTGCAAGGCTATAAAATTGCAGTGATCATATTCAGTCTTACGCTGGAGCCTGGGCTCTGGGACATGCCCCCCTCATGGGATCCCAGAGTCCAGTCTCCATCCTGAGCCCGAACATCTAACTGCAATTTTATAGCCCACAGCCCGAGCCCCGTGAGCCCGAGTCAGCGGATACGGACCAGCTGCAAGTGTTTTATTGCCGTGTAGATGTACCCCTAGATACCTATCTTTAGACACCCACGTTTGAAAATTCTGGCCCAAAGGACTTGCCCAAGGTCAGATGGCCGGTCAGTGGCAGAGCTGGGAATACAAAAGCAATCAGTAACAGGAGCACAATACTTTTTAAAAGGTGACTAAAACAAGCTTCTTATATAATCGTCTCATTTCATTCACTAGAAGCAGGAAATATTGATTATTCACTGCAACAAAAAACTCTGGCTATACTTAACATGCCAAGGTTTCGTTCCGGATATAGTAGACAGAATAATATAAAGTGCAAGCACATCGAGCATCCTTTGAGTTCATTCACAGGGCATCGAATCCTGTAACCTGTACCAAGTTCAGACAGATGGACTTGGTGCTGGAGTTCTTGCAGGAGTTGGGCAGGGAAAAATCCTGCACCTTCTCGAGAGGCTCTATGCATGCCATGGCAGTCTCGGGACGGCAGTAGCCTTTTTGTATGGTGGTCTCTCTTCCTTATGCAGCGGAGGGGCATGGGCAGTGAATTCACATGTGGTACAGACTCCCCACTGTGGGCTACAGGAACCTGCACCAAATGTCCCTCCGTGCCCTTTGTGGCATGTGGAGTGGGGGGCAGAATTTTCCCTTTGATGGCTGGAGGAAATAATCCAAACATGTTCTACAAATAGTCACGCAATTTAACCCATTCTGGGTTTGTGCTGGTCCATGCATCTACACAGGAAAGGGCTGGGGTGCCAGGTGCGCACTTAGTGCCTGGCAGGTCACAAGGCACAGGACATGGCAGCCACTATAAGGCCGAACAGGTGAGTGGAGAGAGGTTCCACTCCTCAAGGCACCGGCCAGAGCAGCGGAGCATAGCGCTGAGTAGGGAGCAGGCTGTGCCAGGAAAAGGGCAGGTACAGCTTACTTCCCGCCAGGGAGCAAGGGCAAAGCAGAGACTGAACTGTGAGACTCAGAGCCACAATTCAGCCTCTGTTGTGTGCTGGGGCAGTGCAGCTATGTGCTGCACCTTGGTCAGTGCCAGGGGTACGGTGCCAATCCAGCCCACTGAGGCAGCTAAAATTCATTTCAAAGATGCGTCCTCTGCAGTGGTTCACAGATTGGATGTGTTACCGTAGATCACTGAACGCACCTGGAAAGACTTGCTAGGGATTCTTACTCTCTCTCCCATCTCGGTGTAACCATTTTTTTTAGCTCTGGAAAAAGAGTACTCAACAGATGCAGTGCAGCAGACACAGGTAAAGCCAGTTTATTACACAAAACACACTCAAGGCCTAATCCTGCAGGTGCTTACTGCCAGGTTGTGAAGCCTTTCTCACACGAGTGAGCCGTTACTCAAATAATCCCAGTGAAGTCAATGGGAATGTCAATGGGGGGGCTACTCTGTGAGTCAATGAAGTCAAGCAGAGGTGAGACACAGCTAGCCGTGTGAGTAAGGGTGTCACCATCTAGCCCGTAATACTAACTACCATCAGTAGTTTCACTGGGGACAGATACAGCCATTACTTACATTGGTATAAATCCAAAGTAACGCTAAATCAACATGGACCAGATTTTATCTCCTTTACATTGAGCAGTCCCATTTATTTCAGTGGCTCTCTCTGTGGAATAAGGGACTACTTAACACAAGGAAACAGAATCTTGCCCTCTGGATTTTCACTAGTGTAAATAGGATCAGACTTCATGGGGACTACTCATTCAGGGTCAGATTCTGACCCAATTCCTCTGGCTGAGTAGAGTCCTACTCCAGCTAAAAATCCTATAGAAGTCAATGGGATTATTTGTGGAGTAAGGTACTCCTCGGCATGAGTAAAGGTACCAGAATTCTGATCCTGAGGGTCAGATTCTGATACACCCGATCATGTTGAGTAATACCTTACTCAATGAGCGGTCCTAATCATTTCAATGGCACTACTCCTGGAGTAAGTCATTGTGAAAGGAGAGGAAGGATTATCAGAATCTAGCCCTAGAACAGTAAATGAGTAAGCTCTGTGTCTCTGACCCTCAATCATTAAAGTAAATGAAAATGTTGCCATTGACTTCAGTGAGCTATGTGGGATCAAGTCCTATGCCCAGTAGTAGGTGCCTGCAGGACTTAGCTCTTAGGCAGCTGTGGCTTTTGTTTCATCTGCCGGAAGTTCCTGACTGTCAGGATTGGCTCAGTTAAACATTCATTATATTACCAGCAGATAACCTCAGTGTAATTAACAGGGATGAAAAAGAAATGAATATTTTCCAAAATCACCTGAGAATTTGCATTTCCAGCTAGTATCCCTAATCGGCTGCAGCGCGCCATCGCGAAGCTTCATTTACATTAGAGTTTATGGCAGGCAATGAGCCACGCCTACAGAGCACTGGTGGCTATCTTTTGTGCACCATGGAGTGCCCTCTCCTTGTGATCTGAACCTGATCATGATCAGACAAAGTCAGGCTGTATATGTACTCACAAACTTTCAGACTTCTTCATCAAGTAAATGAAAAATCTGTGACGAAACTGCACATCACCTGCAAGGCTTTCACTGCTTCAGGTAATGAAAATCACCAGCTCTGTGCTATGATTGGCATTACCATATTGTCTGTTCACCTCCCCGTCTGAAGCAAATGGCAAATTTGTTGCACTTCAGCTCACGTGCATGTCAAACCATGTCACGGGATGACTGCTATAAATCGCACATATTTTTTAAAAGTCCAGTTGAATGTAATGCTGCTTTACAAATACTTCCACCCTTATGAGTGATGGTACATGCAATGGACATGATTCCAACTCACGGTAGGCTTTTTAAACCTTCTCACAAATTTTCTAACCTGAATCTCACTGATACACACAATGAACCTGATTCAGATCTCACTTACTCCTGTGTAAACTCAGTGGAATTACGCAGGTGCTAAACAAATCAGAATTACACCGGACCCTCGCTAGAATGCGGGATTTGGGATCCATGCACGGTACCGCGTTAACGTGGGGACCGCGTTAAAATGAATTGCAATTAAAGTAATTAAATTTGGGATCCATGGCCGCGACCGCGTTATATGCGAATTTGCGCTATATAGACGTGCATTCTAGCGAGGGTCCAGTGTAGTACCATTATTTTCCCATTTTTTGTAGTAAACCTAGCACCTTCTGGTTGTGCCATGATAGCTCTGGATGTGCCATGATAGCTCATCTCATCCATCCATTTGGTTTATTGGCAAAGGTGAAAAGAATTGATGCTCATCTGCTGATTTTCAGCAAGATATGTCTTGGGTCAAAAATCTTCTGTCAGAAAATGTAGCTGCATTTCGGAAAACATCTCAGTTTAAAAAAAATCCCTCTGAAACACTTGAGTCTGTTGACTATCACATTAGTAGGGGGCAAGGTGGACCAATATGAGTGAGTACTTTCTTTTGAAGGAACTTGTGCTCCAGGAACTTTCAGGGTGTGTGTGTGTGTGTGTGTGTGTGTGTGTGTGTGTGTGTGTGTGTG